TTTTAATATTTTTTTTTTTTTTTTTTTTTTTTTTTTTTTTGGACAAACTGAAATGTTTAGATAAAAAGTTTGCATAATTAAAGTTTTTATTTTTTCTCATAATGGCCTTCCTCGATTAAGGTGAGAATAGATTTTGCAAATTGGAAAGTGAAATGTTGTTGCACTCTGTAGGTATTTTCAGACAATTCTTCCTTTTTAAGGTTGTATGGTGGTGTGATTTGCTAAGGAAACACCTATTTAACAATTAATGTCTTGTCTTGCGTATGTGAGAAATTGTTTGTTGATATATTCCTGAAGTTTCTTTTTTTTTTTTTTGTTTCAGCTTTTCATTGAGGGATGAACCTAGAGTAGAGGTACTGTGCGTGACAAACAGTTTCAGGTGATCCGTCGTTTCTGCTTTTGTGTAATAGCAAATTCGATGTTCGGTTTAGCATTGAAGTGGATTCCGTGTTAGTCAAATGAGCACTGGAGTGCTTCCCTTTGTACGAGGAATCGACTTTTCCCGGAATGATTTCTCGGTAAAAGTCACATGTACATAAGTGTTATGTATATCTTTCCTTTACCAACTCTTTTTGCTTTTCTTTGTCGTATTTGACTTTCAATTTATCATGCAAAGTTATTGTTGTTCTTTATGCTTTGTTAAGATCTTGTCCATCACTTATTGTATCACTTTACTAACCTTATCTTGGTATCTTTGTTTAATTCTAGGGAAATCGATTTCCTGAAGAGGTGGCACAGATGACTCAAATGACATGGTTGAAATTAAACAGAGCATCACTAGAAAGGGTATTTCTTATTTTCACTTCTGAATATCTTGACTTAGACCGTGATTTAGATTTCTTTCTGCTGTTGTGTCTTTACCTGTACGGAAATTCAGTTAGGTGAATCTCTCGAAAGATTTTTCTAGCATTCAATCACTTTATTTCTTGGATAACTCTCAGGTACCAGATGAGCTTTCTCGCCTCTCAAATCTGGAACATCTTCAAATGTCGCGCAACGCGTTAACTAGTGTACATGGGGAACTTTCTGATTTGCCAAGGTTGCGTTCGGTTATTGTAAGACATAACCAAGTAAGTTATTACTGTTCCGTTGTGCTCAGATTTGAAGAGTTAAAGTGAGCTATTATTGTTTTGTCTGTCAATAACACCAGAATTTTAGATCAAAACATCTGGCATTCCGACGGATATCTTTCGCATGAAGGATCTAACCATCATTGATTTTAGTCATAATTCTTTACGCGAGGTGCCTCCGAACCTTGAGTATGCGAAGGGTGCTATTGTACTTAGTTTAAGTAATAATAATATTGAGAATATCCCGAACGGGGTAAGGAAGACTGAATTGGCACAGTGTTTTTTTTGTTGTATTTATAGTAGTCCAATTTGTCAGTGGATTTTTTAAAAGAATATTTACGGTTTAATTTTAGGTATTCTCCAATTTAATTGATCTGCTATATTTGGATCTCAGTAATAATAAATTAGAAATGCTTCCACCGCAAATTCGGAGACTAACAACTTTACAAGTTATACGTCTTTCAAACAATCCACTGCATCACTTTCAGTTAAAACAACTTCCTAGGTGTGTGCTTGTTGATTTACAGCAGTGTTTAATTCT